AACAGACAATCTTCTTGCTGATGGTCACCTTTGTTTATGTAGGTAATTTAAAGGGATCAGTATGAAAACTTCACTGGATACTGTACCTTTAAGTATTTCTTTGTAACATTTAATATATACAATCACATTTAAATTTGGAAAAAACATTATTAGTTGTTGGTTAATTTAACACTCTGAAAGCTAAGCTCAAGGTTAACTTTTTTTTTTCCAGGATTGTGTGGTTGCTGCTCAACTTTGATTGGTGCATGGAAACACATGATATCATCTTTTTCCAATTGAGCCCCACCCACTTGAGACGAGTAAGGAAAGCAAGAAAAAAAGACACAAAAACAGACATCTGTCACGTGAAATAATAATAATGAGCTTGAAATTCACTTGTGTCAGAAAAATTAAACTCCTAGAAAAAATGGCATAACTTCCATCAAGAAAGAAGACAGCCATCTCAGCGTATTGGTAGATATTCATAAGACTCCCGGACTAACAAATGTGTTGTCAAATACACTTTCACACATAAACTGAGCAAATGTTCTTAATGGAGAACCTCAGATGACTTCTCAACACATCCTATTTCAAATGACTAACAACAACATAATCCAGCATGGTAATGAAAGTGTTATTTTTGTGATGAAGATGAAGAGGAGCAAGTAATTCCCTTTCAGAGATCAATTGCAGAGGGGAAGCAGGAGTGGGAGGACATCTCACTGCAGTGTGTGTCACAGACTGTGATTACTCCAGCTGTGAAGACTTACAGTCATATTAATCTCACAATGAAGTTGCTCATTAGAGCTTGACCCAGCACCCTTTGATCCTCTCACTTCTTCCATGTTCTCTCTTCATTTTGACATGGTCATGTACACCACTGCAGGTGGTTCCCATGGTGTAAGTTGAGTGTACACTCTTTTAATTAAAACATTTCTTTGTTCTACTTGTTCTCCGTATCAGTCTTCTTTTGAAATTATATACAGCATGAAACTCATACATTCTGGGTCATATTATCAAACACAGTTTACGTGCTGTTATTCACACATTTGAGTCCATAACCCAAAGTTGTCAATGGAGAAATTAGATTTTTTTTTTTTACTTTACACCTTTACATGTTACATACACAGAAATAGACATTGTTATCGCATTATATATTTGCTCTGTATAAGTCAGTTTTATCAGCATGTTATTAAGAGGCATCATGGTGGAATAAATGGACCTACACTCGACTTTGTTGCCAATAAATATATTTGTAAATCAGTAATACATTTAATTTTTTTTCAAATAGGCCACCCTGTATAATGGGTTTATATGCTGTAACTAATGACTTTATTAGTGTTTAATACATAATTTAAGGATGCTTGTTATCACTTTTGGGTTGTTTCAGGTTGTTTTTCTATAAGTCGTTAGTTAATGAAAAGTCCTCTACGGCCCACTTGACCTCCTGCCTTCTGAAAAAAGGCATCTGAACCAAAATCCATTTGTTATTAACTTTTCAAAATTTACAGCTTCAGACTTACTGGATTGATGAACTGATGGTTTATTAGGAAGCCAGTTATTGGCTTATAACTGACCTATAAAGCATAAGTCGAAGATAAATTAACCATTAATAAAGATATTAGTTTGTAACTAATGTCTTATAAATCCTTGGTATGGTACCTTATTAAAAAGTAGACTGTAACAATTAATCTGCTGATTATTTTCTTCATTAATCGACTGATTGTTTGATTTGTAAAAGAATATCTGAAAACAGTGACAAAATGCCGCTATAATTATACCAACAAATAGCACAAAAAATATATTTAAAATTAATAAATAAGTCCTGAACCAATACATTTTTTGTGGAGGAAGAATTACTTAAAAATTATCAAAATAGTATCAGAAAAATTTGCCATTTGCTAACTAGTTAATCAGCTCAATAGAATTAATATATATTATAGGGTAGAAGCAGACTAGCTTCTCATGGCTTACATTATATGACTTTCTCTCTCTCTATACATATATACTGTAGATAGCAAAACATTACATGACATAACATTTGTATTTTCAGTCAGGTGTAAGACTTCTGAAATTAATACATTACATGTAGTGATGATACTTCTTCAGTCTGTGGACAAATAATCTACTGAAGTCTAAACAAGCCAACATACACCAGTGGCCTAATATTATTATGAATAATATTTACCTTCTGCTACATAGTTCCACATCTTAAATTATATTTTGTTCAGGTAAGACTGTTTTATATTGTTGTGTATCTGCATTGTCAGTAGTCACAGTAGTTTTTTGAACTGTAAAATATATATTTTTGTTATAATAAATCACACAAATACACTGTATTTTAGTTTCATTTTGCAATAATGACAGGAACGGTACTTTTCAACACATGTGTCCCTATCAGTTGCTTACCATAGATATTTTCTTTTTGTTAGTAAAACATGAGTAATGTCCATCACTTTTAGCATAAAAGGTATGAGTGAAATATCTAGACTTTTGCAATAAAGATGAATAACACATGTACGATGTTTTTAGCAGTTGTCAGAACGACATGTGAACTGATATTGCATTATGGTATGTTGCACTTGATTGGCATACTTCCTGTCTGATCTGCGTCCTGTGAGCACACAGACTTTTGCATTGTCATTTATCTCTGCTTTCAGCATAGACAGCACTGATGTCAGTGATACAGGGGGGGTGAAGAGGTGTCCATCACTCTGATGGCCTTCAGAAGAATCCATCTGACCTTCACGCTTCCTGATAACCGTATGAACCCCGTCACTTCCACACGTAAACCAATAGTCTATCACCTGCAAAGTGATGCCAATCTAGGTGACACCAGAATGACATTTTTACAGCACCTTCTGATAACCGATGACATTTGTACAACGGTGGTTGAGTATTGTTGACATGAGTGAATGGAACCAATTCTTGACCTTTGCTGATTTTGTTTCCAGTGTTACTCATACATGCAGCATTTATACAGTGAGTTATTAAACAAACAATGCAGCGTTGTAGACTGAATCTGCTTCTGCTTCTTCTTAAAATAACTGACAAAAATAACTGACTTCCTAAAGACACAGTCAGTTAGTCAGTAAATATAGGAAGTTGTAAGAGCAATAAATATGGATGGATCACTGGCCCTCATCAGTTTACTACAAATTAAAACAGGCATTTAAGATTTGATTTTAGAATTTATTTTAAGGAATAATATGATAGAGCCCTCCTGTATGCATATATATATAAGTGTGTGTGTTTGTGTGTCTGTGTGTGTGTGTATGTATCTGTTTATATATATATATTTAAACATGTATGGTTTTGCTTTTTTATTCCAATATTTCTACAAAGGCCTGCTTTGTGTTTTTTTATTTTTGTCTTCGCTGGCCTATGAAGCACTTCATAATTGTGTCTTTTTTTGAAGATTGCTATAAGAAATTATTTTCATATTTCTAAGAGTGAAAGCAGAAAGCTTTCTCTTCTACTATATGTTTTTAAGAAATGCTGTGATTGTGATCCAAAGAAGGCGGGGGGGGGGGGGGGG